CCAGCCTCTTATTGGCTAGCTCTTACATATTGATCTAACCCATTTCTAATATTCTGTGTAGCACCACTAGGTGCACTTACTGGGAAAGATTCAGCATGTCTGACCTGGCGGCTTGCTTCATCATGTCTGGCCCAGAGAGGAGAAGCATAGCGTCTGTCTGAGGCATCTTACCTCACTTCCTCTTCCTCCCAGCGTTCTGCTCTGTATACTCCACCCACCTATGTTTTAACCTATGAGGGCCAAGCAGTTTCTTTATTATAATTAACCAATGACCTTCCTCCATCATTTCCCCTTTTTCTGTTTAAACAAAAAAAAGGGAAGGCTCTAACTTTAACATAGCAAAATTACATATAACAAAACAGTTATCAAGTAAAAATTACAATATTTACATCTATTTTATCTTTATCATAACTAAGGAAAACTATAACTAACTATTCTTCAACTCCATGGTGTGTGCATATGAACAGTGAAGGACGATTTTGTGTAGTTGGTTCTCTCCTCCTATCTTCATGTGCGTGCGTTCCAGGCTCTGAACCCAGGCTTTGGACCAGGCCTTTTATTCACTGAGCTAGCTCACTGTCCTCCATCTATGTAATTTTAAAACATCTGGAAATCACATTAATAAAGGAAAACATACAAAATTAATTGTGATAATATATTTTATTTTCAAAACCCGGGCACCTCTTGTCAGAATCTCTGTGTTTGTATCTTCCGTTTCTCCTACCTGTTACTCTCCTCCAGACAAGCTCCTGTCTCCTGGCCGTTGTTTATGCTGCCTCTACCTGAAATGTTCTTTCCGCCTAAAACACACATGCTTCATCTTCTGTCTCTTTCAAGTCTGTGCTCCAGTGTCCCTTGTTCAGTGAGGATTTGGGGGACAACTTAAGATTCATCTATTAGGGCTGGAGAGATGGCTCAGCGGTTAAGAGCACTGGCTGCTCTTCTGGAGTCCTGAATTCAATTCCCAGCGACTACAAGATAGCTCACAACCATCTATAGTGGGATCTGATGTTCTCTTCTGCCTGATGCCCTCTTCTGGCATAAAGTACACACAGAAAGAGCACTCAGAATCATTAAAAAAAAGAATCTTAAAAGACTCCTCTTTTTCACTCCTTTATTCTTTTCAGCTTAAATTAAACCACCTAAAATTAAAATTAAACCATCTGAAACTTAAATACATGTTTAAATACTATTTGATCATTTGGTCTAATCCTCCAAAATGAACCTCCCCCCCTTTTTTTTTTGATTTTTCGAGACTGGGTTTCTCTGTGTAACAGTCCTGGCTGTCTGGTATTCAATTTGTAGACCAGGCTGGCTTTGAACTCAGAGTTTCACCTGCCCCAGCCTCCCAAGTTCCCAAATGCTGGAATTAAAGGCGTGTGTAGTGATATTTTGTTCGTGCTTTAACAAATAAAGCTTGCCTGAAGATCACAGTGTGGAGCTAGCCTCACTAGTTAGCCATAGAGGCCAGGCAGTGGTGACGCACACCTTTAAACGCAACACTAGGGAGACAGAGGGCAGACAGATCTCTGTGAGTTCAAGGCCACCCTGGGCCACACAAGATTGAATCAGTGTAAAAGAGAAACAGAACCAAGAGGTGGTAGCTCACACCTTTAATCCCAGCACTAGGGGGATGGAGATGGGAAGTGATGTGGCTGGGTGGAGAGAGGAACATAAAAGGTGGAAGGAAACAGGAGCTCGGGATTCAGACTATTTTGTAGATAGGATCTTGACCCCTTGGTTCTGAGGATTTTGTAGAAGAACTAGTGGCTGTTCTGCTTCTCTGATCTTGCAGTTTTCACCCTCTAATATCTCTTTTCATTATTATTATTATTAAGACCAAGCTTTGATGTGGCTCTTAGATGGAGCAGTTACATCCAAGCTAAATCTGTTAGAAGCGAGGTTTCTGTTGGCACTAAACAAATGACAAAGCCTTCCTAGTGTGGAAAGACTCTTCATGGCTGGCGTGGTACTCCAAAACAGAAAACCTCTTTTCAGGGTTCTGTCAAATTCCATGAAGCACTGCGAAGCTGTGTACTGGGTCTATAATCAGTTAATTCAGTCAAATCTTGGGGGTTTTGTTTGTTTTTTAAACTAAGCAATAATTGAGAACTAAAGGCTACTACATGTGTGTGTGTGTGTGTGTGTGTAATAGTGTGTCCTTTAATGCTTTGGTCCTGGCTGAGTTTGAGCTAAAAGACATGGCTGGAAACTCCCATGTTCTTTTTTACCTTACCCAGACTCTTAGAGGTTGTATTGTTTTAAACACCACCCACTCACTTGGGTGCATAGGTCAAACTCAGAATCCTCCTTGGTTTCCCCAAGCCTCTAACATGAAACCCCTTAATCTATTTCCAAAATATAGTTGGAATCTCTTATCTCTACTCTCATTCTCTACAAATAATTTCTTCCATGAATTACCAAACCTAATTTGGTCCTTTCTCTCCTTATTTTTTCAGTTTTGGAGAGTAAACCTAGGGCATCACACACTCAAGGCAAATTTTGCACCCTGAGCTGCAGCTACAGCCTCAGAGTAATCCTTAATCAAGGGTTACTTCACCTTCCTCCTGACCTTGGTTTAACCATCAGTGTTTGGTTTCCCTTTCCAGAACAGTGAGGCTGATTTTGCCATGAAGTATCATGTCACCCAGGCAAGTCCTCCAGCTATCAGGATGCCCCATTGAGTCTGACTATCAGGTAAAGAATATCCTATTGTTACAGTATAGTGCTCCAAGTAGTATTTGAATCTCAGGAAAACGTATTTCTCTTATAGTTATATTTCATACAATATTTGGGACATACTTGCAAAAAATGCATTTGTTGTTTATCTGACATTTGAATTTAAGTGGCTATCTTGGGGGCTTTTCCCCTCTCCAGCAACTTTAAAAACCAGAGGATCCTCAGTTACTACCCTTATCACATTGGATGCATATGACAAATGGCTCTGTATCCTAACAGAACTTCAGCTCTGTAAAGTCCTAATGAGCCTCCCTGTGTTAGACACAGCACGGGCACAGTGAGCTTTCCACAAACGCTGAAACTCAGGCAACATCTGTAGGGAGCCATTCTAAGTACAGACAAAACCCTTGGAAAACGAAGTATTTTCAGCAGGGGGCCCTCAAAGGCTCACACCCACTCTTAGATGGGTGAGTCTTCAGTTTACCTCCAGCATAATAAATGACGTTGTCGACTCCTCAGGATCATCTTCAAGATGCCCCCCAGTGTTTTACATTCCAAAAGGACTTTCAAGATTTTAGATCGACTTTACTTGACCCTCGAGGCAAGTAATAATATCCTTTTACAGACAAGGAAATAGAGGCCAAGTAACGCCTTGCTGAGCATGACCATTAAATAGGAACATTTGGCCCCTACAAGTTTGCTTTGTGCTCTTTCCAGCTGGACCAGTAGGCAGAATCAAAGGTCCTGATCCTTCCCCTCGCCCAGAAAACTCATCTTGGAAGAGGTTTGATATATGACCCCTTTTCTGTGGAGTCAGTTGATCTTCCCATAATGTTAGCCACCAACAGCCTGAGAGGAGTCAGAAACCCAGGCACTCGCGAGTTGAAAACCCTTCTCAGGTGATTCTCAGCGCCACAGGTGCTGCGATTTAAACCCGGAGCACAAAAGCTCCTTCGGGATTTTAGAGAACAGAAACAGTGGTGAGAACCTGAAATCCAGCCTTTTTCTCTCACCTTCTTCTCTGCCGGGTTTCTAGGGGGCAGAATTTACACGTAGACTTCAAAGACTTTTCATCTCTCTTTGGAGTAAATGAGGATGGTTAAGTGGGCAGATTTCATGGCACCTAACAGCCTCATCCGTCGGCGTGCGTCTGTGACGCTCTGGCTGAGTTTATCTAGGTGTCTTGCTTCTAGGAAATGAGCACAGTCAGTCCGTTAGAAGCCCTTTGTGCCCCAGGGTCCCTGTTCCTAAAGTGTTACGGACACTCTCTCCTTAGGATTCAAGAGTAGTGAAGGACTCTAAGCTGGGTTAGGACCAGAGTAAACCAGTTGGGCCTGGAGGTGTCACATTCTCTCTGTCCTGCCTGTGCGCCCCGCCCCCAGCTCTGTTTCTCGTCCACCCTCCCCCGGGTGCCACGCTCAGCCTGGAAAGGCAGACGGTTAGAAGCTAATGACCTAAACCAGAACACGCTGTGAACAATTCGACAGAAGCGCCACCTGCGACGTTACGTTCTTAAACGGCTACCGCCTCGGCTTATTTGGTTTGGGATGAAAAGTGCATAACTGGGTATCCAAAGGGCAGTGGACCTGTGCGATCGTTTGAGGCATTTTTTTTTATGTTGTTGGATCATAAATACCTGACTGGCTGGCCGGGCTCCCACGTACATACTTAGCAGATGCGAGTAATAATAGGTCAAAGCTCTGCTGCCCGAGACCAGTGGGAATGAAATAAAACAGATGTAAACGAGTTCACAGTCCTAGCCCGATCTTGGTAGGGAGTTCAGATGCTGACCAATCTGGGTGAAGGTCGGCATAGAAGATGCTCACACCAGGCCAGACGATTTAACCGAGGACAAAAAGCGGCCCAGTCCCTTTCCTGTCTCCTGGGAGCAGCTTTCCCCTTTGTTCCTGAATCGCTCACCTGGGTGGGCTGTGGTCTTCAAGCTCTTTCACTCAGCGCGCGCAGCTGGCCTCAGGACCCGGGCTGCGGTTGCCAGGGTGACGCGAGACGCGCGCGGAGCCGCAGCTGAAGGCGGGTGCGAGGCGCGAGTTGCAACGCCTCCAGCCCCCCTGTGCCCCCGCTGTGGCCGCGCGTTGCGGGCACGCGAGGGGAGTGGCTCCGCCTCGGGGAAAGCGCGGCTCGGGGACCGCTCAGGGCTCAGCCAGTGAGAGGCCGGGGGGAGTGGTGGAGGGAAGGCTCAGGCCGGGTACTTAGAGCTGCGCTAGCAGCAGGACCGGATCGTACTACCACCCCTCGCACTGGCGTTCAAGGCCCGCCGTAGCCGGGCGTTGTGGACGCCAGCGCGTCTACCCGATTGTATCATGGTGACGCCTTGTCCTGCCAGCCCGGCCAGCCCCGCTGCGGCAGCCGGAAGGCGGGACAACCATCAGAACCTCCGCGCCCCAGTGAAGAAGAGCAGACGCCCGCGCCTCCGGAGGAAGGAGCCACTGCGGCCGCTGAACGCGTGTTCGCTCCCGGGAGACTCCGGCGTCTGTGACCTTTTCGAGTCCCCCAGCTCTAGCTCGGACGGCGCGGACAGCCCTGTGGCGTCTGCGGCGCGGGACTGCAGCTCCTTACTCAGTCCTACCCAGCCCTTGACCGCTCTAGATCTCCAGACCTTCAGAGACTACGGTCAGAGCTGCTACGATTTTCGCAAGGCACAGGAGAGCCTTTTCCATCCGCGGGAGTCGCTGGCGCGACAGCCACAAGTGAGGCGGTTGACAAAGCCAGACCCAGGCCTTAGCGCTTCACATCTCTCGGGCTGCTGTCTCCCTTCGCAGAGCCCTAGTAGTTGCAGCCCATTTTCTGTCATCAATAGGAGCAATGGGGATCTTAGAGCATTGGGCCACTGACCTCACTCTCTAGATGGAGAAAAGTGGGGGGTGTGAATAGCTGAAGTCTATGCGTTAGTTCCAGGGGGTAGAGGAGTTTATTAGAGTGTGGAAAAGTCCGAAAGTTTCTAGGTTAGAGCCCTAACTCCTAAGTTTGTTTGCACATCTACAAATGGACCCTTCCCCCACCCCTGATGCACGCCCTCCGTACAGTACTGAGCTCGAGCCCACGCGTTCCGAGACTCAGCCAGGCCCGCACTCCACGTGTTTTCCATTTTTCAGGGCATTTAGCCTTTTCCTCTCTACCTCCATTCGGGGAAGCTCCCTGAATTATATTGGTCCCTTGCTGCAGCACACTTCCTTTCTCCCTCCTGGCAGGTGACCGCACAATCCCGCTGTAAACTGCTCAGCTGGCTCCTGCCAGTCCACCGCCAATTCGGCCTCTCATTTGAATCGCTGTGCCTGACGGTGAACACTCTGGACCGTTTCCTCCTTACCACCCCAGTAGCTGCAGACTGCTTCCAGCTGCTCGGGGTCACCTGTCTGCTCATCGCTTGCAAGCAGGTACCTCCACCAGGCGTAGGGTGGGATGTGTTTGGAGGCAACCTCTCCAGTCGTGCATGGTTCAGGGTTGGGTGGCTGGACTCATCTAGGCAGATGCTCGCAGGTCTTTATACGCCATAGCCTTAATTTCGTATATTTTCACGCGGAGTAAAATAACCAGTCCTTTCAGACCTCGAAGGCCTCCCACACAAAACTTTGTGGCATTTCTAAGTCTCTGGAAAACATGGCTTTTCATTTTCATTCTCTCTCTCTCTCTCTCTCTCTCTCTCTCTCTCTCTCTCTCACACACACACACACACACACTTTTTTAAAGTTGGATTGGAGCTAGAGAAGCTGTACCAAAAGCAGCCATGCATGGCTTAAAGGTGGAGTCGTGGAAAGGTGAGGCTGCCTGGAGGTTCAAGTCCCAGTTTTCTCCCTGATTTAAGGTGGGGCGCGCTTGGGGTCCAGGAAACCTCCAGGCCGGAACCTAGAGTGCACTCTGTTGCAGGTAGAGGTGCACCCGCCTCGCGTGAAACAGCTCCTGGCCCTGTGCGGTGGCGTTTTCTCCCGGCAGCAGCTGTGCAACCTTGAATGCATCGTGTTACACAAGCTGCACTTCAGCTTGGGCGCACCCACCATCAACTTCTTCCTGGAGCACTTCACTCACGTCCGCGTGGAGGCGGGGCAGGTTGAGGTCACTGGAGCCCTGGAGGCTCAAACCCTGGCTCGGGGAGTGGCGGAGCTGAGCCTGGCTGATTATGCTTTCACCAACTACACACCTTCCCTGCTGGCCATCTGCTGCCTGGCGCTGGCTGATCGCATGCTGCAGCTCCCTCATCCGCTGGACCTTCGCCTGGGAGAGCACCCGGAGGCCGCACTGCAGGACTGTCTGGGCAAGCTGCAGATGCTGGTGTCCATCAACAGTACCTCCCTGACTCACATACTGCCTCCCCAGATCTGGGAGAAGTGCAGCCTGCTCCAGAGTTAGAAGTAAAAAGCATACCCTTGAGTTTCTTTTATTCCCGGGGCCCTGGCTCTGTGCCTGCAGGAGAGTGTGCAGTATTAATCCAAAGAGAAGCTCAGGATTCCTGCCTGTAAATAGTGTACAGTAACAGATTGTTATTTATTTTGCGGTACACAAGGGCGGGGTGACAGTCCTGGCTTGTCTATATGCTGCTGTTATCGGGTCTGCCCTTCACAGGTGGTCAGTCAAGGTGGTCACCAATTTCAGAGTCTGTCCTCACTCCCAATATTTTACTCTGTAGTTAGCAGCTCTGTGAAAACAATCTAGCAAGATTTTAGAAGCCACGGTTCCAGTAATCAGACAAGTCAAGTTTGCCTGTCTCTATCTTAACCCCCTCCAGCCTGGAGGCTGAGTCTCCCTCCCCCACACCAGTGGCCCAAGGAGTGTGAGACAGAGTTGGAAGTCATTGTAGTAGTCCCTTTTGTCCAGAAAGGCAGTGCCTGCTGCTTACTGATGTGGGTCTGGGAAGCTTCGGGGACCAGGTAGGCATGCTAGCAGTGGGTGGAGCAATAGACACCCCCGGTGCACCCCCAAGAGATGTTGGAAAAGAAACTTTTTTGCATAATCCTATAGCTGTTGCAGCCTGGGCCATCTCCTCTGCAGTTACACGCTTGGTTCAGCTGACACCGCTGCATGAACCCAGGTGAACAATGACGTGACAGTAATAAAGAATATAATGACTTACTTGCAACGTATACTGTGTGTTTAGCGTTTATTTCACTCTTTGACAATGCGATTGAAGCAGTCAGTCGTCTTCCACTTTCCAGATGTTAGGACCCAGGACCTAGAGGCAACCTGACCCATGAATCTTATCCTTAGCCTCCTTGCTAGGCTGCTCCTGTTTGTTTTCGGGAATTCTTCTAAAGCCCCCTTTCTGTGGTCGGTACCTCATTAGTGCTCCTCGGCTCAGCAAGGCAGCACTGTTGTCTTCTAGCCTTGCTACAGGCCCCACTTTACGGATGGGATACTTGGTTGGGAAGTGGGAAGCTTGCTAGGCTGCTGGGACTCTGTAATCACCAGGAGGCCCTGATCCTCAGCTCCGCCACCTGCAGCAAATTCATCAGCTTCAGTGGATCTCGGGGTTAGGTTTAAATATTGTTCCTGCAGTGGGGGTGGGGAGGATAGTGATTAAGTGAGCAGCCTTGAAGCCAATTTGCCAGGAGACCTTGAGCCACTTCTAAAAATGGGATAAGTGCACCCTTGCTTAGGGGTACAGTGTCGTTATGCTGAGATGATCACATGCGCCCCACTCCTGGCACAGAGAAGCCTCGAGCAGTGGCAGTGGTAGTCTGCACAGTGTTGGGAGAGCTTATACAGGAAAACAAAACAAAACCTAATCAGGGTGAACATATGGTTCATGTGTTGTGGAGGGTTTTTTTTTTTGTATGATTGAAAACTTATGTGTTGGGTAAGAAATCCCAGTTTGCACCTCTGCATTTAGAATAAGTCAATGTCTGATGAATAAAATGCAAGGCCCCAAATTGTAGAGCCTCTGCACTCCTCCCCAACAGCTCGCTGGAAGCTGGGTCCTTTACTTGCATGGGCGTCAGGCCGCTCGCTCCTCTCTGGGTAGAGCAGTCTCCTTGGGAGTGGAACAGCAGTTGTGTGATGGTACAGAGGGGAGTGAGGATCCAGTCACCTGTCTGACTCTTACCCATCCATCAGGGTCCTCAGGTGAGACAAGGAGGCCCTTAGGGTCTGGCCCTTCATGGAAAGAAGCCACTTTGGGGGTTGTTAGCTTCACTAACATCTAACAGTCCAATTGCTTCTGACATGTCCATGTTGTCTCCTAAATTTTCCAGAACTAGGGAGCAGAGCCAGGAACACTCGGGAGGCAGAGGCAGGTGGATCTTTGTGAGTTCGAGACCAGCCTGGTCTACAGTATGAGTTTCAGGACAGCCAGGGCTGTTACACAAAGAACCCTTTCCAGGGAGTGGAGAGAGGGGGGGACCCAGAACAAAAGCAAACAACCAAAAGAAAACCACCACCCCCCACCACACACACACACACACACACACACACATGCACAAAACCCTAATTTGTCTAAGCACTAGCCACTGGGCATACATAAAGCGACTTCTCTTCCCAACTCTGCTGGGGTAGGTGTTACTGCTGCTTTTCTTAAAGGCAGATCTGGTCTGGTGGGGTCTAACCTCCATCCTTGTGTATTTTCACACCAAAGCCAGTGTTTGCTCCCTGCCCCCCCAACCCTTCATCTCAGACGCACACCTCATTTCAGTTCCTATAAAAAGATATTTTAAAATTCACTCACCATTATGCACCCCTCTTGGGAATATCTTGGTTCTTAATTCAGCTAATGGGTGCAAATAAAAGGTCCTTCCCACGGTGGTGGTGCACGCCTTTAATCCTGCCACTCAGGAGGCAGAGACAGGCGGAACTCTGAGTTCCAGGCCAGAGCGAGTTCCAGGACAAGCTCCGAAAAGACACAAGAGACACCCTGTCTCAAAATACAAAACAAAACAAAACAAAACAAAACAAAGGTCCTTCCCTTGTGTTATTAGATGTAAGGCAAGAGCAAGGTGGTCAGCAGAAAGGTATGCAGGTTTCTATTTCTGATGCTTGTTTACATTGAATTGATCTGGGTGGTCCTGGAAAAGGTCCCCTCACCCAAAGATGCTCCATTCTGAGAGAGATCTCTTTGTAGTAGACTCAAAATCTGGAAGATGCTTCTTTCAGGGAGAGAGGGGGCTGACTTGAAGAGAGATCTGTGTAACTGCAGGGAGAAGCCAGCTGTAAAGAGGACAGCCAAATGCTAGGACAGCCAGCTGAGTCCACCAGGGTTTTAGGGGATTTGGAAATGTCCACAGTAGGGATTTTCAGAAACCGAAGTAAATGTCACTCCCCCCCCCCTTTTCTTTTTTTCCTGAGGCAGTCTTTTAGCTCAGGTTGGCCTATGAAACAGTATGTAGCCCAAGAACTCTTGAGTAAGTTTGAACTTATGGCAGTCCTCCTGCCTCAGCATTGCTTTTTTTTTCCCCCTTAAAAAATGTTTAGGCAGGGACTGGAGAGATGGCTCAGTGGTTAAGAGCACTGGTTGCTCTTCCAGAGGTCCTGAGTTCAATTCCCAGCAACCACATGGTGGCTCACAACCATTTGTAATGAGATCTGGTGCCCTCTTTCTGGCATGCAGGTGTACATAGAGGCAGAATGTTGTATACATAATAAATAATTAATAAAAATGTTTGGGCACCATTTCCGGGGAAGTTGGCAAGGCTCAGGTACAGAGCGGATAGTTCTTGACAGTAGGCAAGAATGAGAGACCAAATAAAAGCCATACCCCAAAATCCAGAATGTTGTTCAGATTTGAGGGCCCTTTCTGTAATTTGGAGGCTGGCCTGAGAAGGCCCTTTTATTTCCCCACTAGAACCTTCTGGGGAAATTTCGGAGTTCTGCTTTGGCGATTGTCACTCCACACTTTGTGAACCTTGTGTCTGGGGTGGTAAGAAGAAACAGAATCATTAACTTTCACATCCCTGCTGCCCATAAATTGGAAAGCTAGGAACCGGTGGTGCCGGCCCTCCCTTCCCTCAACCCTCCCATCCCCACCTTCGCCTGGCACAGCCAGGATGCTACGGCGCCAAAGGGCACTCGCGGGTCGGGCCCCGCGCTCTTAGCTCCCGGGGGAAGCCGCGTTGCCGGGTTGGTTAACGCCTCCGCCCGTGCGCAGATTGTCCCGGGTTGAAGGCGCCACCTCTGGCGCTCAGGCGCGAGCCGCCCCTCCCGCGCAGCTCTTCTCCTCCAGGCCCTCCCTTCGCTCCTTCCACGCGCCGTTGCCTATCTCTGGCACCAACAGGTGCAGTAGCGCTGGGTGTGGGTCACCATCCCAGGATGCAGGCGTGCGAGGGCAGCGCAGCCGGACGCCGGGCCTTCGACAGCATCTGCCCCAATACGATGCTGGATCTGTCGCGGCGGCCACTCGGCAAGCCCGGGAAGCCAGAGAGGAAGGTGGGGATGTTCGCTGTGGTCTTGGCTCTGGCAGAGTCTGTCAGTCCAACGCCCCGACAGCTGACCTGAGCTTCCCGTTTCTGTGCCCGGCTAGTTCGTTCCTCCGTGGAAGTCCTTCTCCGGATGCGGCGGTGACAGCCCAGTGTCGGTGTACGAGGATCCCCCTGACGCAGAGCCCGCTGCACTGCCAGGTGAGCCCCGAGGCACCTGCACGATCCCTCGATACCCTCGATTATGCCGGGTGGGTGCGGCACACGCGATCCGCAGTCCCTCTTTCCCCGGGCTCTGAGGTCCTGGTTGAGGGTCCTAGTGGCGACCTGGCAGAGAGGCTTAGTGTTCGTTGGATGCGTGTTTCCTGATCTTCCCGCGCAGCCCTCACCACCATAGACCTGCAGGACCTCGCAGACTGCACCTCGCTACTTGGCACCGAAGCGCCATCTAGTGCTGATTCTTCCGCCTCGCAGGTACTCTTTCCCTTGTTTGGCTCTTGGCCCCTTACAGATCCAAACGCAAAACTGGTGGGTTTACTTTCCTCTAAGGCCTCAAGATGGACTGGGGAGCACAGGCACACTCAGCATATCGTGGGTAGTCAAGCATCCTAGATCCCAATTTTCTCTCCCCCCCCTAGTATGTTATTAAGGTCTCATTTTCGGGACTGGTCTGGCCAACTTTTACTACAGCGCACTTTGTTATTCTACGGAACAAGGCAATTCGGAGCTGGTGGTCTGAGGAACCACGTGAATGGGCACAAGCTCATAGGATAACTGTTTTGTTTGCCACCCACTTCCGGTCTCTCAGGAACCATTTATATTTCGTAGGCACCAAAGGACCATCAAAGTCACGGGGGGGGTGGTGACGACAAAGGTCTCTTAAGCAAACTGATGGAAACCATTCTGTCTGCAGAGACGGACACTCAGCAGCTGGCCACTTTAAACGTTTTATTCTACTCCTCTGTTGGAGCCCACAAGACTCTACAGTGACTGCAACAACGTCATGAC